CCGCGCGCTCTCCCATTGGTCCAAAGTTACCAGGCAACCTGTATACTTTAGGATCTTGGCCTTTGACGGCATTGCAGCGCCGACTTTTCGAATCGCCTTCACAAGCTAACTAAACAGGGCGTTTATTTTCATGCATCGTTTACTAGAGCAGTCCCGGGAAATGTTTGTGTTGCCAATTGCCTAAAATCGGTGAGAGCAAATTCACCTGGTCTAGACCAGACGAGTGACAATTCACATGTGTGAGAATCTGTTTAAATGTCACTTGCACTCTCATGCTTCTGACCCCTTCAAATGTCCTCAATTATCTATAACCGATTTATGAAACTGTATCATTATTTTATAATTCGCCTAGTTTCCGGCTGTGATTGTTGCTTATTTCGTTCCATGTTGTAAACATAGATCCGAACTAAAGATTGTTATTTGTATTACTATTTAAAATCCACTTACATATTGCCTGAGAATTCTTGTTCAGCTGCACTTTACCTGGCTTCGCTCGTATGGGCAAAGGATAAAACTATACTTTATCAGCTACTATAGTTATTGAAAGTTTTCGCTCAGGCCACGAAAACGTTTTAGGTAAAGATAATGCTTCCGGACTAGCTAGAGCTTGGAACGTGACCCCCATATCTTGAGATAAATCATCAGTAATTAGTACTTGTAGCCAGGATCCTTGTGAGACGTAAGGACTCTCTGGATTAACCAACGTTCCTGTAACTGAATGTGCTACGAGAGTTACTGCAGTTTCTTCCAGCGCTGATTTAAACGTAAAATGTCGTCCATGTTTAACACGACCTCTGAAAATTAAGATAATTTATTGTTACATATTTGAATCCACCAGTAATGAAAGTTAAAAGTGCTACTTTTATAAACTGAACAACTTCTTSAATGATGTTGAACGAAATAAACGAAAATGGCTTAAAACTGTCAGTTTTGCATTTTCAGCAGTCATTTTTGTGTCAAAAGATGGACGGTTTGATCTTACGTAGGCGTCCCAAATTTTGTGACAGTAGCTATAAAGGTTTAAAAAATAAAAAGAGGTCTCATTATTTACACGGGCACTGTATTGTGTGTTTTATCATATAATCTATAAAACTAATGGTCTTTCATCTTAGATCGTCCTGCAATCAATGGGGTATTAATGTGTATGTATTTGTGTATAAGTGTATTTCTTCCATTGATCTAGTTGGTTCCTACCTTATTGCTAGTGGAAGGAGGCTACCAGCTTCCAGATTGAGTATTAAATGCACCCCATCCAGTTTTCGTACTCGGGCTATTTCTGAAGCTTCCAAAGAACTAACTAAAA